CTGGGATCGAGCCCCGCATCGGACTCCCTGCTCCGCGGGAAGCCTGCTTCTCCCTCTCCCACTCCCCCTGCTTGTGTTCCTGTTCTCGCTGTCTCTCTCTCTGTCAAATAAATAAAATCTTTTAAAAAAATAAAAAATAAAACGAGGGTACATGCTAGGCTACACCAAGAAGGTGACTTTAAAAAAAAAAAGATTTTATTTATTTATTTATTTGAGAGAGAGAGAGAGCACGAGTGAGGGGAGAGCACAGAGGGGGAGGGAGAAGCAGACTCCCTGCTGAGCAGGAAGCCAGCTGTGGGGCTCCATCCCAGGACCTGGAGATCATGACCTGAGCCAAAACCAAAAGTCGGACGCTTAGCCAATTGAACCACCCAGGCACCCCTTAATATTTTATTTTTTTAGAGCAGTTTTAGGTTCATAGCAAATTTGAGCAGAAGATTCAGAGATTCCCCGTACACCACCATCCCCACACATGCACAGCCTCCTCATTATTCACCCCCCGCCCCCACCGGAGTGATACACCTGTTACAAGGACACATCATCACTCAGGATCCATAGTTTCCAGTAGGGCTCACTCTTGATGTTGCACATTTTATGGATTTGGACACGTGTATAATGACACATATCCACCATTCTAGTATCACACTGAGTATTTTCACTGCCCTAAAAATCCTTTGTGCTGTTGGAGGGTTTTGAGTGAAGCAATGTCCTGTGATCTTTTTTGGAATTCTGAGATCCTGCTAAATTTGAGGAAAGAGTTAAGAGGGCTGCAGAACCAAGACTGTTGCCTATTTTGCCTTCCAGCCTCCTGCGGTCCGAGGGTGGATATAAAGTTCCCAGCCCTCCCCCTGGTCTCCGCCTCTGCTCACGCCCTGCCTCAGTTGGAAGAATGAGGCTGTAGAACCCCGTCGTTCCTCTGGGTGGTGGTGCTGCATCACACACAGGGATACCTCCCTGTTCTGTTGTGTTTCCAGAATGGCCAGCCCTTTCCCTGGGACTTTGTCAGTGAAATCGCTCAGGAGTGGAGAAAATTGGAGAGGCCCTCCACCATCAGGGACATCCTCCAGCCGGCTCGCCCTTCTCTGGTAAATCCTCCTCGCGTTGTCAGGACTGCCAGGGGCCCCTGGAGCGAGGCCGACCCCCAAGCCTGTACTCTCATCTCGCCATTTCTGGGAAGCAAAGAGTGTAAACAACAAAGAGAGAGCCAGGGTGTTTTTTTCCCTCTTTATACTTCCGTGTACTTGTTCTTCAAGTCTAGATTGATATTCATTTTGACACTTAAACATTGTGATGATGCTCACTCCGGAATATGAATTGAGGGAGGGGAGGAGAAAGGGTCACACACATATGGGGCGCCTCGTATGTTGCTGCCTCCTGTGCTTTTGGAAAATGATTGCACCTGTGTCCCCTCCTGGAGCTGACCACCAGCTACATGGTCCTTCTAGCTAGAAACAAAGTACCATCTTCACTACCTTTCTCCTCCCTCTTTTATCTCTCACATCTGTCACCAAAACTGTCCGTTTTATCCTACGTAATGTCACAAATTCACCCCACCCCCCTTTATGCATATCTTCACTGCCTTTGTATATCCCCAGGGTAGCAAATATGAAAAGCGAAACGAGTCAAAGGGAAGAAGGCCCGAGTGTGAGGCAAGAGGGAAGGGTGGGGACTGCCGTGAAGCCGAAAGAGTATCCGTGAAACCTGAGCCACGTGCCCTTCTGCGGGGAGGCACACCCACATGTGGCAAGTTGTTAAAAGCCAGAAATCTGTTGCTGTTCGTTGTTTTTAATGTGAAATGTACCAAGTTAATATTGGCAACTGATTTTTTTAAAAAAATGTTTTAAACACTAAGTAGAACACCACAAGGGGCAAACAACACACCAGTGGTCCGAGTTTCGCAGGCAGCAGCCGATTTTTGACCACCGGTTTTAACCACCAAGCTAGCTACGGACTATTGATGTGGCTTCTTCTACCGCCTCCGGCCTCTCCCGTATCTCACTTCCGTGCACTTTGCTTGCGGCCTGCAGAGCAACTCCCCAGGCGCCAGGTCACACCAGCTCATTCCCACTGCTTGATGGCTCCCTTGCCATGGTCCCCCCCAGGTTACTCAGGAGACCGAGTGCAGACAACTGAGGCAGGCTGCCGGACTTCTCCCTCTCTGACTCCAGGCCCGCTCCCCACCGCGCCCCCACCCCCACGCCCCGCACTATGCCCTCCCTGGGCATACATCACTCCTTTGTTACCGGCCAAGGCCTCCCGCGCACCTCTATTCAACTGTTGTAACATCTCTCCACGTGTGTCTCCTGCTCTAGGTGGCGATGGACGGCCATGGACGCAAGTGACCACCCCTTATTTGTCTGTGCTCGTGTGGGGCACCTGCCGCTCAAAAGGTAGCTGGCAAATATTTTTTTAATAAATTACAAAATGAATGAATGATGACTGTTAGCCAAGTAAGGTAGAACTGTCTTAAGGATGTTTATTTCCCCACCCCATTTATACATAACTAAGACCTGAGCATCCTTCTGACAAAGACAGTTCTCTTCTTTCCCCTCATTGGCCCCCAGCCCCCAGGGTGCAGAGGTGTTGAAGACAAGTGCTCTGGGAGCCAGGACCAGCTGCCCCCGTCCCTCCTGCCTGGCTGTTGTTACGGGCGGGTCCCTGGAGTCTCTGGGGCTTCCTTAATCCTCTTTCTCTTGAGTTTTGTTTTGTGAGGAAGTTTCCTTAGAGAACCTGAAAAGGGAAAGTGACACAGTCCTGATAACATAAGCAGTAAGAGAATCTCAGCCTGTAACATGTCAGGGGGGGTGGTAGGGACAGAAAGGAAGAATGACAAAATCTTATCTTCACTTGCAACCTCTGTCCCTTCCTCTTTTCTCACAGAGACCCTGTGGCGGAGGAAGACTGTATCACCCCGATTTACAGATGAGGGATCGCACCCAAGCGCAGAGCCCACCCTGCCCAAAGCCTTAGGCAAGAGAGGGGCAGAGTCAGGACTAGACCACATTTCTTGACTCTGAGTCCTCCCCACACCCGTCTCAGATTCCAGGCCCTGGTTCCCAGGACTTGGCTGCCGGACGGTTTGCCAACCCCCTGCCATCTTTTTACTTAAAAACTGACTTATGAACATGGTGCCAAAGAAACACCAGATGGGTTACCTTTAATATCACAGATGGACTCAGTGATTGACCAGAGCCCGTTCATGGTGGGTCCAGCAGACAGCACGTGCTTTGTCATATAACACAAGGTGAAGAACACAACCTTGTCTGTATCCCAGGCAAACAAATATTTAACAGGACTTCATCAGGACTTTTGATCTGAAGTCCTGTTTATGCACAGAGGAACAAGCTTAAAAAAAAATGCCAAAAGGAAGCAACAAGTGTCAAAAGTGGAACATTCTGCAGAACAGTGGCCTGATCTCTTCAACAAGTCAGGATGTGAAAAAGGGGATTTTGTTGGGTTCAAAGAGATGGAAGAGACATGACCAGGTGCAATGATGCATGAGTGGGAAATCGGTGCAAGAAAGGTCCTGGACTCCTGGGGAAATTTGAATAAGGAGTACTTAATCCAACAATTAGATGAAACGAAAACGTTGACATGGAATGCTGATCTAATTAACTGAAAAAAGCAAGTTCCAGTCAAAATCCTATACGCAGTGAGATCTCATTTGGCTAAAATACATGTATTGATATGTATAAAAAAACATCTGGAAAGTGCTAGCAGTAGGGAGGACAATGTGATGCTTATATTTTCTTATTTTTGCTTATCGGTCTCACCTTATTTTCTATGCTACGCTTATGTTTGTAGGAATAAAATGTTATTTTAAGAATTACATAAAAGCCAATGCTCTTAACCCACCATCCAAGGCTTTTTCCTATTACCCCTCATCCTGCACTTCTCCAACCTGCTCTTCCATTCACCTCCAGGCCCAGACTGTCTGCTCATTGCCCCTCACCTCTGCACACACCTTTCCTTCCTCTCCTTCCCTCCCTTACCCCTCCTCCCCTCCTTCTCCTCTGCCCGTTCTTTAAAGCCCCTCCCAGAATTACCTCCTCCAGCCAGCCTGTCCTACCCTTTGCCCTGTGGCCTCGGATGGCTCATTCGTAAAAGGGGGGTGATAACACCCATCTGAGGATGCCGCAGGGGTTAGGGTTAGGTGAAATAAAGATACCAGTCCCCTGGTATGGAAGAGGCTGGCCCCAAAGCCCAGAGCTCACTTTCCCTATCTGATTCATGAACTGCGTGGCCTACATCATCTTCATCATGGACTGGCCTTCATTCCATTGGATGTTTTGCTTCCTCAATTTAAACTATAGGCACCAGGGCCAAGGGCCCTCACAGAGCCCAGACAGAGCTCTGGGCCTCAGTAATTGCCTGATTCGCGCCCACTGCCCCTGCCCCATTCTCCCTCCTGCTCTCCCCTCGGGGCAGCTGTGACTGGTGGGCGAGGCCCCGAGCGCCGGGGGCCTGCATCAGTCCCAGCCAGCCTGACCCTCAGAGGAACACCTGGGGCCAATTTAGGACCACACTTGGAGATCCTAGGCCACTCTGTTCACCTTCACTTGCTCCCCCAGTAGTGAAGCAAGAACAGCTAAACTGTGGTCCCCGAAGCCAGATCCAGAAGGGAGAAGGGTAAGTGGCTCCTACATCTCTTTGTACCTCAGTGCACAGGAGGGGCCTTCATAGCTTCCAACCTTGGCTGGGACCCCTCACTGAAGAGTCTCTGTCCCCTCACCCCACAGCCTCTGTCCAGAGGGCCAAGCAGTGCAGTCGTGGCAGAGACCAAGGCTGCCGGGAAGGCCAGTCCCAGGCCATCTGACTCGACTTTCCCCCCGCTGTGGGAATGAACCACTTCCTTAGTCCACAGCCCACCCAACACCCAGAGCAGGCTTCCCGCCTCTGCTTAGACACCTCCTGGGAGCCCCCACTCCTGACTGCTAGCGACGGTCTCTGCCTCTACTCCTATGGGCAAGTGGCTTCGTTTAAACTGTTCATTGAAAAACGCAGGATCCCAAACTGTAGGCATCATGAGACCTCCGGAGGGAAGTCATGCAGAACGCTGAGGGGAGACACGCCAAACCCTTTACCGGTCATGGCCTTGGGGGATGGGTGATTTTCCTCTCTCCTGTTTTACACTTATCTATACATTTCAAACTTTCTATGATAAGCACCCCCGCAGGGAGGGGGACAAAAAAGAGAAAAGAAGAAAGTGCAGAAGGGGAAGGAAAGATGGACCGAGAGAGAAGTGCGGGGTTAAAGGGAAGATGGGAAGGGAGGGCTGTCGATGCCCCCACACCTAAGGGCATTACCTTTCCTGCCCAGGCCCCGGGGTGGTGGCTCCCCCAGCAGCGAGGCCTCTCGGCCGGGCGCCTGCATCTTGGACAGCCTCTCCTTCATGCAGCTGATGTTGTTGTGCAGCCCCCACGCACTGCACAGCTTGGGCAGACTGTCTTCCCGGTCGGCCAGCAGGGAGCTCTCTAGGGTGTCCAAGGGGCAGAACGTCACCTGCAATGGGCCCATAATGTTGAGGGGAGCGTGGAGAAGCGAGGGCCCCACGTTCCAGAGCCCCAGCCCTGCCCCCGTGAGGAAATGACCGTGGTCTGCCTGCACCTCACCCCCCTGCCTAGCCAGCAGGAGGCACGAGTCGCAGACGGGGGAGAGGAAGGACCATGGGGGCACTGAGGCCGGGCTGCCAACTGTCTCTTCTTGGGTGCTTCTTTACTTGGATATATGTCCTCCATCTCTTTTTAGAGTTATATATAGTGTCTTTTTTAATTTGCTTCGAGGTTTTATTTAAATTCTAGTTACCATAGTGTAATATTGGTTTCCGGAGTAGAATTTAGTGACTCATCACTTCCATACGACACCCAGCGCTCCTCACAACAAGTGCCCTCCTTACTCCCCATCACCCAGGGGCCCATGCCCCGCCTACCTCCCTCCAGCGACCTTCAGTTGCTATAGTTCTCTATGGCTCTATAGCTAAGAGTTCTCCATAGTTAAGAGTCTCTTATGATTGGCTTCCCTTTCTCTTTTTTCCCCTTCCCCCATGTTCATCTGTTTTCTTAAATTCCACATGAGTGAAATCATGTGGTATTTGTCTTTCTCTGACTGACTTATTTCGCTCAGCATAATACACTCTAACTCCACCCACGTCATTGCAAATGGCAAGATTTCATTCTTTTGATGGCTGATATATATATATCTCCTATCTTCTTTATCCGTTCATCAGTCAATGGATGTTTGGGCTCTTTCCATAATTTGGCTATTGCTGATAATGCTGCTATAAACATCGGGATGCATGTGCCCCTTCAAATCAGTATTTTTGTATCCTTTGGGTAAATACCTAGTCGGGCAATTGCTGAATCATAAGGTAGTTCTATGTTTAACTTTTGGAGGAACCCCCATACTGTTTTCCACAGTGGCTGCGGAAAGTGTTAGGAGGGTTCCTTTTTCTCCGCATCCTCACCAACACCTGTTGTTTCCTGTGTTGTTAATTCTAGCCATTCTGACAGGTGTGAGGTGGCATCTCATTGTAGTTTTGATTCCTATTTCCCTGATGATGAGTGATGTTGAGCATCTTCTCATGTGTCTGTTGGCCTAGAGTTATAGTGCCTTATGCAATTGTTTGTAATGAAACAATGGTATTTGTTTTAAAGTCTTTGACAAAATTAAAATTGAGAGCCTAAAAATATCTTTTGAAATTTTCCTGGCCAGTGAAATCCAGGAATCACTAAAATGACAACACCTCATATTCAGAGGAGGATTCCCTGAAATGATGCACCCATTCATGTTCAGAGGAAGAAACAGAGACCCAAAGGGGGAAAGGATTGGGTTAAAGCTGCGTAGCTAGAGTGGGGCGGGGTGCCATAGTTAGAGCAAGGCTTTCCCCTGAGCCAGATTACGTTTGAACCCGGCTCTTGCCCCCACAGGCTATGTGATCTGGGTCATGTTACTTTACCTCTCTGCATCTGGCATCTTCATTTACACACTGTGGACACTAATTGTAATAACCATGTAGGGTTACTTTTGAAGATTATAGGAGGGAACATAAAGGGCCTGGCACATAGAAACTGTTACCTATGATTCTTATTTTGAGCCAGTGATTCCCAAAGGGTGCTCTGTGAACCCCTGGGGACCCCTGAAATATTTTGATCCCGCTGACCCCCTGCAAAGTGGGGTCTACTCAAAGTGCAAGAGAGAAACCAATGGATTCTAATGAACCGAGTGTGAAAAGGTCGTTGATACAAATCTGAGAAAGCTACATACTGTATGATTCCAACTGTATGACATTCTGGAAATATTGAGTCGGTAAAAAGATCAATGGTTGCCAGGAGTTTGGAGGGAAAGGATGGAGGGATGAATATGTGGAGCACAGGATTTTTACAGCAGTGAAACTATTCTGTACGATACTGGAACGGTGGATACATGTCAGTATGCATTTGTCAAAACCTATAGGGTGGCTCAGTTGGTTAAGCGTCTGCCTTCGGCTCAGGTCATGATCCCGGGGTCCTGGGATGGAGCCCCGCATCGGGCTCCCTGCTTGGCAGAGGGCTTCTCCCTCTCCTCCCTGCTCGTGCTCTCTCTATCTCTGTCTCTCTCTCTCAAATAAATAAATAAAATCTTAAAAAAAAAAACCTAGCATGTACAACACAAAGATTGGGCCCTAATATAAACTATGGACATTATTTAGTTAATAATGTGTCATAAATAATGTGTCAATACTGGCTTAGTGATGGTAATAAATGTACCTCTCTAATGCAAAATGCTAATAATGAGGGCAACAGGAGAGGTTAGTATACGGGAAATCTCTGTACTTTCCACCCAAATTTTCTGTAAACCTAAAACTATATATTCATATATAAACATTCATTGATATGGTTTCAGATTCCACATTGCTAATAAGTAGCTGCCACTTGTTCGGTTTTGGTGTGGTATCAAAGAAAAATATCCATGACTCTCTGAAAATGCTAGTAAAATACTCTTTTCTCCAACTACACATCTGTACAGCCTGGGTTTTCTTCACGTCCTTCAGCCAAGTCACATATCATAAGAGGCTGCAGAAGCAGCTGTTTTCTATTAAGCCAGACACTAAAGAGATTTGCGAAAATGTCAAACAATGCTACTCCTCTCACTACATTTTTTTGTTTTGAAAAATATAGCTATTCCTTGTAAAAATTATTTATGTTAAAATGTAATGGGCTCCTTCTTTTGATTTTTAAATGGATTAGTGAGTACATATTTAGAATTTTTTCTTTGGTTTCAATTTCTTTTTTTTTTTAAGATTTTATTTATTTATTTGACAGAGAGAGACACAGCGAGAGAGGGAACACAAGCAGGGGGAGTGGGAGAGGGAGAAGCAGGCCTCCCGCCGAGCAGGGAGCCCGATGCGCGGCTCGATCCCAGGACCCTAGGACCATGACCTGAGCCGAAGGCAGACGCTTAACGGCTGAGCCACCCAGGCACCCCTAGTTTTAATTTCTAATAGGGCAAATATCAGTAGCTGTAACCTACATAAACAAACGCTTTTGGGGCTTCTCAATAGCTTTTTAAGAGGGTGAACATAACTTGAGTCCAAAATGTTTGAGAGTCACTGTTTTTGAACAAAGCCAGGCCAGGCTCTGTCTGATAGTCCTCAGAGCCTTCCCCAAGCTGGCTGTGCCTCTCTGCCTGGCTTCCACCATCCCCACCCGTAGCTTCTCGGGAATGTCCCTGCACCTGTCAACATCAGGGTGTGGGTGTGGAGAGTGAAGAAATACCAAGAACTTGAAGCTGAGCCTCTGCCCTCTTCAGCCCCACTCTGCCCCCTGTCGGGGGTAAAGGTAGGGGCAGTGGGGTCTTCCTGAGGCAGTGAGTGTGGAAACAAGTCGAGGGATGCTGGCGGTATCAGAGGGCCCCCTCAGCCCCAGGCCTCCCCCCCACGGTCTAAGAACACACCAGCCAACCCTCAGCTGGGCCCGGGAGGAGCTTTCCTGAGCGCCTCACCAGGAACTCGGCCGTCTGGTTGCTCTTGGTGTACTTGTAGAGCCTGCGAAGCTGTTTCGCCTCTAATTCTGAGAAGAGAGAAACAAATCGCCAGAGCATCCTGCGGGGGGAAACCAAGGCTGAGGGAGGCAGAGCACAGCCCCTCTCCCTTCAGCCTCTGTCTTGTGTCTGTGACCCACTCAGGGAGAAATGGACCACATCCTGCCTCCTTGGATTTGGTCAGGGACGTGGAGAGGTGGACATTTGCTAAACCTTGAGTACCCCATCCTGGTGCTGGCCACCCACACCACACAGCAGTTGTTCAATCAGAGGTCATTCTCCACAGGGTCAGGAGAGTTCTTTGTCCACTGCCATGAATCAGTGCTGCCCTGAATAACTAGAGGCCCCTGTTCTCTCCACCCCTCCTTCACCATGCTCACTCTAGGATCCTCACTCTTTCACATAAAGGTGAAGGACTCAGGGATCTTGACTGAGGTGTGTCCTTGAATGGGGGGTGGGGTGGGGCCCAGGAGTGGGTATAGTGGGAAGGGCAAGAAGGCTGCCCTACTTCCTCCAGTGCTTGATTTCCCAGGTTCGGCAGTAGTGCTGCAAAAAGGTGTTGATGTGGTCCCCTAGGACCACCAGGCTCTGCTTCATGTACTTTAGCTTCTTCTTCTGGGGAAGATCCCTGGGCAGGTGCAGCTTTCGCAGGAACTTCTTCAGTGGCCTTAGATATTCTTTACACTGAAGAGGCAACAGGTGAAGTGAGCAACCACAGGAGAAAAGAAGAGGCAGATGGGTAGCCCCAAGTAACCAGCAGCCCTTATGGGCCAGGAAGTGTTAAGTGGGTTAAGTAAGGAGGCTCTCGTCAAGGTCTTACTTGACATGACAAGTGGGACAGCAAGCTATGGATCTGAGGCCTGCCAATTTCTGACCCAGGTCTCCTGGCCTGGAGGAGGGACAGGGTCCCTTACTCACAATTTTGAAGGTGTCCTGGCCCAGGCCCTTGGCATGGCGTACAAGTGAGTCTCCAGTGGGCGTGGTGCCGGAACTCTTCTCCAAGCAGGGTACATCTGTCACCTGGGAGGAGGCAGGGTGCCGCGGTCAGCTGGGGGGCTTAGGTGCGTGCTCCTGAGGGGCAGTGCGAGGCAGCCAGTGGTCCAAACTCCAACCAAAGCCCTTCTCCGTTTTCCCTAGGACCTCTTCCTTGGCCCAGCCCTGAGGCAAGTAAACCCTCAGCAAAGAAACCCAACCCTGAAGATCCCTGCTTAGAAAACCTAGAATGCCCTGTCCATTTCTTTTATAATCATTAGAGCACAGTATTGTAGCTAATTTTGCAAAGCACTTGATAAACATGAACTCATTTTATTCTCCCACAAATTCTTTAAGGTGAGACATCATTATCCCTGATTACGGATGAGAACACTTTGAGGCACCAAGCGATTTAAGGGACTCCTTGGGGGAATGAGCAGGGAGTCATTCACTCATCCATTCAGCAAACATTTATTGAGCGCCTAAGTCCCAGGCCCGCCTCCAACCCTTAGCATCAAGCCACAATAATGAGCACTCAGAAAAGCATGTGACAGTGATGGTAATGAGAAGAAGCTCTCTGACAGCAAACGTGGGGCCAAAAAAAAAAAAAAAAAAGCCGAAAATTAATGAAGACAAAGTGACTTTGAAATAATACTTGAAGTCAGAGCACAGGATTAGGTTGACACAGTAGGATTTGCACCTGACTTTGCAAAAGCCTCTCAGAAAAGTGAGCATTAATTCCTGCCTGTGTTCAGGAAGACTCAGGCCCAGATCACTCTGAAGGCGGAGACCAGGGAGAGGGTGGAAGGGAAACGGAGAGAGTATGGAACCCAGGCTCCTCCAGGCCCCAGAGCGAGGGGACTCTGGCGGATCGACTCCATAAACACACCAACCAAGCACACAGACCATAACTCAAGTGCACACACACACGTGCACACACACACACACGTGAGCACTTGTCTCCATAACCAACAATCATCTTGCCAGGAATGTATGTCTTTGAATGAATCAACCTTCTCTTGTTCTTTCGGTCCCCTGCTAGCTCATGTACATCACCATTTTTCCTTCTTCTTTTCTTCCCTGAATCTCATGTTCTCTGCTTTCTAAGACCAGCCCCTCAAGGACCCTCCTTTCTTCCCTCCCTCACCTCCCTAGCCCCACTTCACCTTGTTTAGTGGCTTGTCCCCTTCAGCCCCTTGCCCACCGGAGGCCTCCATCTCAACGGGTGCACTGGCGGCCTCCAGAGTGGCCCTCGTTATGTCCCCTCAGGCTTCTGACCTACTGCTTCTGTGACCTGAGTGTCTCAGGGAGTGGGCAGGTTGGCTCCAGAACTCGGAGCAAAACCATGGCAACCGCCAACACAGAGCCTAGCTCCCCTCCCCCTCCCATGCGCTCGTTCTTGGGGGTGGCCACCAGCCACCTCCTTCAACAGGGAACAGAACTCGGGAAGCGAGCAAGATGTGCCGAGTAGACCCAGGACTTTGTCAGAGCTCAGCGCTGGCCAGGTGGGGCTGTAACCCCTGTTTCCAGGAGAACCGTCAGATGCCGGTGATTGTGACCCCTGGTAAGAGCTTCGAAGTAACTTTCCTGCGTGTGTATCGCTGACGACTCCTCGGTTATGCCGTGGGCTCCCCGTGATGAGGGCCATGGTTTATAACGCTTCTTTCTGGTTTGGGGACAAAGGTCTAGAGGGAGCTCGGAGAGAATGGAATACAGTAAGCCTCTCCTGAGACGGATCTCCTCTTCTGTTCCTCTGTAGCCTCCGGGAAGTCAATAAGCCAGTTGTGTTGGGCGATGGTTAAGTGGTGGTAGCGTTTTTAGGGAGGGTGCAAGAAGTACAAGCTACCATGTAATATCTCAATTGAGCCTCGCAACAGTCTTCTCTGAGGTGGGTACCGCAGTGACCCCATTTCACAGAAGAGGAGCCGAGACGCAGAGAGGTCCGGTGACTTGCCTTAGGTCCGCGGCCACTAAGTGGGGCGCGGGGCATTCGGTCGGATCCGGACCGCTCTAGCCTTTCCCACCCGCGCCGCCCTCCGGGGATCCGAGGCCGCGAGAGGCGTTGCTGCTGCCGGAGTCCCGGCGTCTGCCTGGCCGGCTCGGCCCGGAGGCGCTCGGAGGTGCGGGTAACCAGCCGCGACCTCGCCCCTGACTCGGCCCAGCGCCCGCTCGCGACCTCCAGCGGCGCACGGCGGGGTTCCGCGCTGATGGGACCGTTGCAGCCTCCGCTTACTCAACCTGTATCTTCTTCCCGGGGACGCTGAGCTCCACGTCCTGGCCCTCGCTCTCGTGTCCTCTAGGCCCGGGGTCCCCCCACTCCACCGCTGCAGCCCCCAGTCCATACCGCCCACTTCCTCCCCTGCCCTCGCCGGCACCGGGTCGGACCACAGTGGCCAACGGAGCCGGGCTGGGATCCCCACCCCGCCCCGCGAAGTCCTGCCAGGTCTCCCTCTCGCCATCTGGCGGTGGTACCCGCACACGACAGGGACACTGTGGCTGAGGACATGCCTAGGGGAATGAGGCTCCCCGCCAAACTGGAGAGCCTGGTGTGTTTGAGCATTAATCCGGGACTACTTTGCAGCTATTAAGAAGGAAATTGGCAAGAGTAAGGGAAAGGGGGCTCTCTTACACACTTCTACTGGGAACAATGAAGAATGTTAAATGTACATTCCCTTTGGCCCACAAATTCTACTTCTAGGAGTTGGTCCTAAGGAAAGATGATGTGTGCATAAGGACTGTTACAATGGTGACAATTTGAAAACAACTGAAGCGTCATCAGTAGGAAAGGGTAAATCAACTGTGGAACACCAATACTTAAAAATACTACTCTATTAAATAGTAAATAAAATTAATTTAAAAAATACTACTGAAATACTATTATTAAAATATTACTCTGTATCTACATAATACTAATTAAAATTTTTAAAATTACTACTTTATATTTAATGACGTGGAAAACAAGGACTAAAACAACATGTCTGGTATGATTCCATTTTTTTCTGAAGATTTTATTTATTTATTTGACAGAGACAGACAGCAAGAGCAGGAACACAAGCAGGGGGAGTGGGAGAGGGAGAGCCGGCTTCCCGCCGAGCAGGGAGTCTGATGTGGGACTCGATCCCAGGACCCTGGGATCATGACCTGAGCGGAAGGCAGACGCTTAACAACTGAGCCACCCAGGCGCCCTGATTCCATTTTTGAAAGTATGGATTTATATATGCATAGAAAAAAGTCTTGAAGGATACACTTCAAAATGTAAAGGGTGATTTTTCACCTTTTTTGCATATTGTCTGCCTTTCTAAAACTAATGAATATGCTTTACATTTACAGTCAGGAAAAAAAGGGAGAGCTGAGTCTGTTTTTAAAAGTTACTCATAAGGAATAAATAACATCATTAAAAATGTTATATAATGCTAAGTTTAAAAACACAAACCAAAAGAGTATTACATTGTAGCTCTGAGAAGCCAACGTGAATATGGACCAAGACTGGAAGAAAACAGTAGAAAAAAGAAACAAGGAATTGAACACAGATGTAGATATTATATATCTATTCGTCCCCCTGCCCCAAATAATATTTACAATTCAAAAGGGGGAAGTAAGTCAGAACCTCAAAGTTTATCTGTCCCTGCCTCCTCCCTCATCTCACTCCACTTCTCCTTTTCCCTCCCAGAGCCTCCAACAAGTCCTAGGCTCTGGATGCCTGCCCTGTTCCCATAATGGTTTTATTATCAGCCATAGGGAGTAGCCTGAAAAGAACATTGAGCCTACCAGCAACTAGGAATGACTCAACACTCAACATAAAAACAAAAATCCATTGCCTTTGGGAGACATTCTTCAAAATCCAATTGGTTAGCATAAAATGACACTATAGTGCAAGTCAACTCATTGAACTGAGTCATTCCTCCAATATTTAATTAAAAAAAACCTCTATGTGCCATGTACTTCAGGCAGGTGGCGTGGGGAAGGTGAGGGTGAGGGTGTTAATTTGTTCACCCTCCACTCTATGCAGGTTGGCATATTCCTTAATGGTGTGGGCTGGTTTCATAATCATTATGTCTCACCCCTACCCTCTAGTGACAAAAATCTTGTTGTATGTCCTAAATTCAGGGGACAAGGAAAATGACTCTTGGCATCTACTGCCTACACTTCCTCTCATAGACTTGAAGATCTTTCCATCTCTCTCCCTGGGTTAAACAGTGACTCAGAGACTTTTAATTCCCTTAAAGAACGCTCTCTCTATCCCTTTCTTTTTTTTATTTTAAAAAAATTTTTTAAAGATTTTATTTATTTATTTGACAGAGAGAGCAGCAGACGGAGAGGGAGAGGGAGAAGCAGGCTTCCGGCCGAGCAGGGAGCCCCATGTGGGGCTCGATCCCAGGACTCTGGGATCATGACCTGAGCTGAAGGCAGATGCTTAACCGACTGAGCCACCCAGGCGTCCCTCTTTTTTTTTTTTTTTTAAGATTTTATTTATTTGTTTGACAGAGCACAAGCAGGGGAAGCAGCAGGCAGAGGGAAAAGGAGAAGCAGACTCCTCCCCGAGCGGGATGTCCGATGCAGGCCTCGATCCCAGGACCCTGGGATCATGACCTGAGCCGAAGGCAGATGCTTAATGACTGAGCCACCCAGGTGCCCCTTTATCCCTTTCTTTACTAAGAAACCCAAGGGTATCTTAGCATTGCCAAAAGAAACCCCTTGATCTTGTTCTAAATTATCCAATTAGAACTGTATCAAGTCTCCAAGAAAAGGAGGGCCATTTAAATTCCCACCGTAGCTGGAATGCTGGGTCTGGAGGAAATGTGACAGTTTCTAGCTGAGGGCCAAGGCATCCCTAATCCAAGGCCATGAGGGATTCTATCACTACCTAAGGCAAAGTCTCTTAACATGGGGTGTACTGATAAGCCTGAGAGAATCAACAAACCCACTGAAACTCTTAACTAGCAAGTTAAGGACTCATTGCCTTCATCAGGTAGTCAGAAAGGTCTATAGCCTAAAGAAGTTAAGAACCTAAGGGTGTAGACCTTCTTCTCAGCCGTGGTTTTTCAGATGGGTCTTTAAATCTGAGCTCAGGGAAACCCGCAAATGGAGGTTGTGTGAGAAATGCCAGAAACACAGTTAATCTGGAGAGAAACAGGAAAAAGGAAGAAGGCAAGGGGGTTTTCGGTCTAACTAACCATATTCCAGACCAGACCCAAGAAACCAGCGACTAAGGAGAAGGCCACTGAGATCCTTGAGCATGTCCAGTAAAGGTGATATACCGCACCCCCTGCGAGTAGCCTGCACCCATCCCTCACCAGCGGGAAGGAAGCTCCGTCTGCACTAATCCGAGGGTGAGAGCCTGTCAGGACGGAGTCTACAGGCGTGACACCTTTCCCTCTCCCCCTGGCAGGATATAGGCACATCTCTGCATGCTGATCAGGAGCATCTGTTCATCTCCTCTCCTCTCAAAATAGTTCTCAAAAATATTTGGTACTTTTTCCTTCACTCCTATCTGCTATTTACTGTAGTTTTCCATTTATGGAGCCCTGGTTTAATTTCACTTCGGTTTTTTGTTTTTTTTTTTTGTAGCAATGTTTTAATTTGGGCTTTATGGGCTCTAAAAATATCTTGTCAGGATATCAAAAGTAACACTACAGAATGGAAAACTTATAACTTCAGAGCATGTTTCTAAACAATTTAATGATATGCAAGCTTCTGAGATGGTGTTAAATTGCTGGGCCTAATGATTTCCACTTGCCTCTCTCTGGAAAGTGTTCTTTCCTAAGATGGGAGGCAGGGAGATGCGCAGGAGAAAATTGTATGGTCAATGAATATTGGAGCTGGGAAGGATTTTGGAGAGGAAAAATGCCACCCCTAAATTTGCTACAAGTCGGATGGGAGGGATGGGGTGGCTGGGTGATAGACATTGGGGAGGGTATGTGCTATGGTGAGCACTGTGAATTGTATAAGACTGTTGAACCACAGACCTGTACCTCTGAAACAAATAATACATTATATGTTAAAAAGAAGAAGAAGATAGTAGGAAGGGAAAAATGAAGGGGGGAATCGGAGGGGGAGACAAACCATGAGAGACGATGGACTCTGAGAAACAAACTGAGGGTTCTAGAGGGGAGGGGGTGGGGGGATGGGTTAGCCTGGTGATGGGTATTAAAGAGGGCACGTTCTGCATGGAGCACTGGGTGTTATATGCAAACAATGAATCATGGAACACTACATC